ACGGTTATGATCTCATGCTATAAATTGCAAATAATAAGTCGACACCACAAAGTAAAACAAAAAAAATTGCTGAACGATGCATTGAAATACTTTCAATACAATTTATAAAGACACTCTATATTACAAAGCCACATAATTCCTTCTATTTTCATCTCAATTTTATTCCATTTTTCCTTAGCACATGTTTTTTTATTTATTTATTTTTTTAGAAAAAAAGTAAAATAACTTTTGATTTCAATTTTTACTTTCACTTTACAAAAATCGCATATATGAATCGCAATGAACTAGACTAAATATCCGCAAAAAATTGCAATTCATTCATTTATGCAATTTGAATATCGTTAATTCCTTCATTTTTTTTTCCTTGATATGCAACGATTATTTTGTTTTAATCACATTGTTAATTCACTCTAGCATATCACCACTCTCCTGCTAGCTACTTGATTTCTTGCATTTCAAATTTGACACTTTTGTTTAATCCACAGCTAGCTTTAGAAAAGAGCTTTTTTTGCACAATTTATATATTTTTTTATATTTCAATACAAAACGAAACAGCGAACACGTAATTTTCGACCCGCAGTCCACAATTACAGAAAAGCAACTGAGAAAAAAGTATTGAAATTCGTACACAAAATTCAGAGAGATACTCAATCAAGTTGCAACTACCAACACAACAAAATTTGCTTTCATGGAAAGGTCTTGGTTGTTGTGTGAGCTGTAAATTTAATGAAATTTTTCCTTATGTATTTGTGTTGAATTGAGAATAAGTTAAATATCATCTTATAAATGATGATGACGCATCTACTTTTGGATTGTTGATGGATTGTATCTTAAATTAAATTAATTTTTGTTGTGAATATATTTTAATAAATATTTGAAAGTTGATATTATGGAGTTTCATTAAAGATGATTTTTTTGATGATTTGATTTGTTTGCCTATGGAGATTTATGAATTTTTATTGTAATAGTCATTAAAAGCCTTAATTAATTGTGATAATTTCTTTTCGATAAATTTGAACTTTTTGCGAGATTACTGTTATGTAATCGAATTTGTAATGCTCGATAATTTTTAAATTTAGCATGTTTATTTATATGAATAATCATGTTTTAATGATGTTGTATTCATATAAACTGTCATTTCTTAAATATAAGAGAAAGCATCATTAAAGTATTTTTTAAAACCAAAAATAACTTAAAAATCAAAAAAGCTATAGCGAAAAAATCAATTTAAACTTCCAAAACTTACATCAAACAATCCAAACTGTCAGAGAAGCACTCATCGCTACCGAATAAACAGTAAGCACAAGCAATGAGAAACAAAAGAGCAATTTAAGCAAAGATCTCATGATGAGATCACGATAGCTGTTAAGTTTAAAAGCCCTGCCATGTACTTTATTTTATTCTTCATTGTCTTCGTTTTAAATCTGCTGTTTTTCTATCCTCCATTTCATTTTTATGTATAATGCTTGTTTTTTTTTCTCAGATCAACTTAACTTATTAAAAGTTTTAAGCTCAATCTCTTCTGCTTTACTGTTTTGACTTCATTTCAAGTAATTGTAATGGTTTTTGGTATCAAAATATTTGCTAGTGTGCGAGGCATTACTAACATCAATTTATGTGTTCATGTTTCATTAAAGAAAAAAAATATATGAATTGAATTGAACAAGATTGCCTTGTAAAATTATTGTACCATAGGCTAGAGTTTATATTGACTGAGTAAACGACTTAATGGTGTATGTTGTCTGTATTAGGTCATAAGTTCTCATTTTTTCAGCTTAATAATTTTTCAACTAAGCAATACACAGAGCCATGTCAAGAATTTACTTAACAAAAATGATTTATATATGCATATTAATGTTCATTTAATGTGTGACTATGTTGAAGTTGAGGAAAAATAATTAAGTTAAAAAATAGATTTAAAGTCACATATTTTAGTGATGCCGATAAAAAATTGCATGGCGCGACAACAGGTTTTTTAATCTCCCTATACTTCTGTTTAAATATATTATTTTGTTGAAGTATGCTAAACATATTTATGGTATTAATAAATTGCAGACTTCCCGATAGAATCACAATTAAAACGCGAAAATATCATCATCAGTAATAAACATTAATGAGATCTAGCGAAAAATACCTCGCGGATATTGCCACTTTGTGCGTTTTGCTAATTGCATTGTGCACGATATTAGCTGCTTCCTGGAGATGTCTTGTTAATGCAAATTGGTATCATCTCTTTTACAGACGCACACTCAACTTTTCTTCCCTTTTTTCTGTACTTTGTATGTCTATCATCTCAATCTTCAACTGCGATTGTTGACATTTATGAACTTCCTTTAAAGAAGAAACGATTTTCACTTAACACACAAAAAAATCATCATTTTTATCTCTCCCAGCATCATTAAGTATTTTATATTTTTTCTGCGTTTCTAATTTTTTATGGCCCTAAATGCTTAAAAGAAAATTTTTTTCATATCTCGAATTATAAATTTGATAAAATGAGGAAAAATTCATGATTTTATTGTAGAGCATGAAAAAATGCTTTTAACGTTTAAATTAAATTTAAACATTTTCTTCACGCTAAATTCACCACGACAAAATATAAGCGCGAGTTGATCGTGGTGAATAAAAATTTCTCATCATGAGTGACGTCATTCATTTAGCTCACTTATGGTATAGTAAAACAGTAATTGTTGTTCAATGTGTGAAAAAAATATAAGTCATGAGCATAAATGCATGCATTCATATAAATAGGCTTGTGTGAAAATTGATGATCTACATTTGATGTTTAGATGCATTGAAATGAGTGCGGATTATGATTTTTTGATGTAGATTAATTGCACATTATGATGTAACAAAGAAAGAAAAAAAGTTTTTATTTTTGCCGTTCCTTATTAGATTCTCACTAAGCAAATAATAATAAATATAGATACAGACATATAGTACGTGCTCAACAATGAGCTTATGCGAACATTCAAAATGAATTTAAACTGCATTTCGATGCGCTTGCAAGGTTTCTTTTGCTGCTACAGTCGACGAGACCGGAGAACTGTTATTCAATGTTATTTTTGTACACTTTTTTCTTCTTCTTTAAAACGCTTATTACAAAATCGACACAAAAAGGGGTTGACATTAATATGCAACTGTTAAAACTTGATATTTTAATTTTTATCCACAACTATATGGTTGTACAATAAAAATAAATTGCTAAGCTTAATTTGAAAGAATTCTTTATCCTCATATTTTCTGTGCCTTGTTTTGAGAACGCACGCAACTTGTTATTTAAATGACAAACATTTGGCAATGATGATTTTTATTTCACCACGTTTTAAGATTGGAAAAAAAGAATTTTATGCTTCTAATCTCGATATATGATGTGATTCTCGATTTTTAGACAGTAAATTTAAGTAAATTTAAATATCAAGAAAATACAAAAATGATGATTCACTTGGTCATTAAACCGTCATAGTATTTGGGATACAAAAGGCAGCATTTTAATATGAATATATTCTTGTTCTATTAATTAAGATCAACAGATTTGTGGATACATTTTGACGATACTAAAACACAATATCTCAGTTTAATTCTATTGATATTTATATTGACGTTCTGCTAATAAATTAATATTATTCATTATTAATTTTATTTTGGCATTTGCGCACGCTTGTGACTTGAAAAATTGGCAACCGGATGACTTTTTGTGGTTTCATTATCACCTGCTCACTATTTACAACTAGAGATAACCATAACGGAAATTGCAAAATAAAATTACCTTATTTTACATGCATGGCAAGGAGAAATTAATAAGTTAATAATTAACAGTCTTTGTGGCAACATATGGCAAGAAAATGGGAAGCATGTTTAATTATGAGAAATTATTAAGTTTGTTTTGTGTTTGACATGAGATATTACAAAGTGAGAGAATTAGTTTGAAAACTGCCGACTCCTTAAAAAACTTGTTAAATTATTATTGTAATTATTTTAAAGCAGCACGCGAGGCCAATTTTCGACTGAATCATTCGAAAATCAAAATATAAATTAATTTTAAGCTCTTCCAACTGTGGAGGAATTATTATCAATAATCAGACTAAAAAGATGTGAGGTCTCAATACTATAGGAATAAAATCTTAAAATCTGAAATTTCATTTTATTGCTGCAAAATCTAATAATAGCTGCTCATTGACCCATTACACAGTATGTGACAAATAAAACATACTGTGAGCTTAAATGCAATTATCTTTATTTTCTACAGAAATTCATCCTAATCATCTTAAATTTAATCTCACTTACGTTGCCATGCGATAAATCCTACGCTTATTGATTTACTGCTAAATCGATGAAAATAATGATAAAGGAAATATCACCTGTGACGTTTTGTTTACATGAAAAAAAAATCGTTTATCATCAAGCTAATCGTGTTCCATATTTAGCCTTGAGTAAATTCTTCAAACCCCGCACAGAAAAAGTGAACAAAAACGATTATGGCAACATGACTTTGATACCGACAAATCATTGTCATCAACCTCTCACTTTCAATATGCCACGACAATAAGAGCACGAAAGTGAATCTATTACTACCATTCAAAGGAATAAACGATCAATGAAGACCCATTTTTATATTTCCTCACTCTTTATCTCAATATAAGCCATTCAATTGATCGAGTACAAAACAAAATTGTAACATGTTCGCTGAGTAGACATGCAAAGAAAAGACTTTTCATTTTCTACAGCACTTTACTTTTAAAATTACTAAAAAGAAAAGGAAATTAGATCAATTAGAAGTCAACCGTAGCATACATAAACGTGAATGATATCGCAAAACAATGTAACGTGCATATCAGCAATAAATTGCTGATAGTTTGATTGGCTTAGAGAGCATGGAAAATGATTTCTGTCTATCAAAGCTCAAAAAAATAAAAATAATTTCATATCTAATCTAGATTACATGGGGAGAACGTCTGTGGCAAGAGGAAGTAAAAAAGTATTGTAATTCATTCACTCACCATCCCATTCGTCAAGCTTTTGGCGAATTAATCGCGACCAATCAGCATTTCGATGTGTTTTGGTTTTCTTACAGATTCTAAATTGATGAGAAAATAATAGAAACAGGAAATAGAATATTAATGAACAGCATAAACATATTTTAACGGTATATTGATCAATAATCATTAGCATTACAATACAAATTATAAATTTTTACAGCTATGAACTTACACAATAAATCGATCATTAGTCTCAGCTTCATCCTCTGTTTCCACATCAATCCACTCATCACTATTATCGCTACCACCACTCCTATCACTTGGTGGCGTTAAACTCTGTCCTATTCCATAAATACTATTAATTCGATGCTCAGATGATAAAGTTGATGTAGATATCGCATGCCTCAATATTTGATTAATTGTCGAGTAGCTCTGTTTTAGACTGATACTTTCATAACAGTTGGAAATTATTGACATTGTATCATTCTTGGAATTCTTGTATGGATTGTCAGCATCATCGCTCATATCAAATGATTCACAATCCTCCTGCTTCCGTTGAGTATCTTTTCTTCGAATATTTTTATCAACACAATTGTTATCAAGCTCAGGAATTTTTTCATAGTCGGTTGATATTGATCGTGTATCACCGTTTTTGATTGTATCATAAATGTTTTCTGTTGATTGTTGGTTGTTTTTATTTATATTTGTATTACTGTTTGAAATGTTTCGTGGTGGTAATGGTTGATATGTTTGATGTTGTTGTTGTTTTGAATGTTTTGGAAGTTGATCGTATGTTATTCTCTCGTATGTTGTTGAGTTACAGCTGTTTGATTTTTGTAATTCATAGTTTATATTACAAAGCTTTGGCACAGACAAATTGGCTTGAACTAGATTTGATGTTGTGGAAGTTAATATTGGTGAGGAAATTTTTGGTATGGAGTGCTTTTGACGCGGTGCAGGCAATTCAGGTGGTATCTCACTAATAGCCTCTGGGAAAATGTAGTCGTCCTCGCATTTTAGAATATCTGACAAATTGATCTTATTGTCTAAAATATTTTGCTTTATCTCATCGTAATTTTCAAAAGATTCGTAACTTTTAACACTCATTGTATCATCACCATTAATTATACTACCCTTCACTTCGCATAGTGATTGATAAATATTTTCAACTGGTTCCTCTTCTTCTTCCTTTTTTTCAATCTCTATCTCAACTATCCGCTCTGTCTCATTTTTCAGTCCAGTTTTGGCATTGCTATTATTACTTTTGTCATCAATGTCATCACATTCGAAATTCTTCTTTTGCATTTTCGCAAGCATATCAATGTCGTTGTCATTTGAGTCCTCTCTTGAAATTATTTCATAATCGTTTTCGACTTGTATTTCGACTTTAACACTCAACGAATCAACGACACTACCAGTTGAGGCAGACAAATCGGTTTTTGATGGTAAATTAGTTTCGATATTATCCACATCGTTTGGTAAAGAATTCTCATTGAGCATGCTACGAATGAATGTATCACATGCTGTATCAACTTTTGTTAAAGGCTGTGTACGGAATAAAAATGAGCTGTTTGGTTTCATCTCGATTGCCGCTTGCTTTTGCTGTTGATTTTCAAGTTTGTTATTTGCATTTATAGACTCCATTGTGACATCATTTATCTCTAAGTCTACGATTTGCGGACCTTGACTGGTGATATTTTTCTCCTCTATCACGTTATTTGATAAATTCTCATTGTTGAAATAGACATTTAGATTCAAATCAATTGGCTTAAGCTCAAAATCATCATCAATCTCAGAAACTAAAGTCGACGATTGCTTGTCATTAAGTGGCTTATTATTTTCAGCTGCTTCCTCATTTTCGTCTTTCTTTTCACTATCGCTGGCCTCTGTCATAATTATTTCTTTTTGTTCTATACACGTCGATGTCATTTCTTGCTTATTATGAGCCTTCTTACCATACAAAAATGTTGATCTAAATGTAAGCTTATCGTAAATTTTTCTAAAGTTATTTTTCGATGTCGTCGTGTCCTTGATTGGCTCAATTGTTTCATCTATTTTCGGCAATAGATCTTCCTCTTTCTTGTTGCTGTTGTTATTGATAGTGCTATTTAAATCTGTGTTACTATTATTATTTAATTCCTTATTTGATGTATTTGATGTTGCTTCATTAGTTTTTACAGCTTTTGTTGCATCAGTCTTCATAATTTCATTCAATATTTTCTTGCTCTTTAATTCTTTTGTTTTTGCCAATACTCGTTCACTCTTGTCTGGTACTTTTGGTTTAATAACAATCGTCTCTTTGTTCACAACATTTGCCTCATATAATTGACGTTTTGTGAGCACATTGCCATTTCCATCTTTGCGAGGCGATTCAACCATAATTCTTATACTTGGTCGTTTTCTCAATGAACTCCTCTTCCTTGTGCTGTTTTTTCCAATGCTTGGTAGGCTTATTGCATCATCTGATGCCGCAGCAGATGTATCATCCACAGAATTATTATTAATGGATTTCTTTGTAAGACTTCCATTTCCCTTATCGCTATTACTACAACTTGTTGCTGGTGCTGCTGTTGTTGCTTTCTCTTCTTTAATTTTAAATACACGACCGCCTGAGCGATGTACCACGAATCCACCACGTTTCTTAACCTCTTCTAAGATTGTGGCATCCTGCTGAATCATTTGATTAAATCTTTGAGCAATCTGTGCTACTTTATTACTATTGCCGCTATTATTAGCCGCAAGCTTCTTATTCATGTATGATGATGTTGTTGAAGGATTGGTTTTAAAACTAATTTTTCTACTTGCACTATTAGTATTTGAGGAATTTGTTGATCCTACTGAGCTTGCAATGGATGAGGTCATGGAATCGGATCGTGCACTCCTCGATGCTTTTGATGATTTATTAACAACATTTTCTTGAATTTTACTTTCAAAAGTTTTCCCATTACTGTTGTTTGTTGTGGATGATGAAGAGGTGGAGGCAGCTGCAGCAGAACCATTTGTCTTATTTGTTTTTACCGACATGATGCTATCACTATTCTTATTTGTATTCTCGGTTGGAGATTTGACTTTTGCTGTGAAAATATCTTCACGTTTTGCCCAATGAATTTTACCACCGGTTGCTGATACTTGTGGAAAGTGACAGTCATTGAGATTTGAACTTTCGGGCCGTGAATATTTTCTTACTTTTACTGGATCTAATTGATTATTGCACTCACTATATCCACCAAATAATTTATTTTTCTTAGTTCTCACAAAATTAGCGTCTTTAAACTTGTTAAAGTCATCTAATGGATATCTTAAACTACTATCTAATGTTAGTGATTTCTCAGTTCGTCGATAATCGTTGAGACTATCATTTGATTGCGAAAAATATTTTATTGTTGCACTTTTTTGACTTAAGTTCTCAGACGATTTTGCAGTCTTAATCTGATCATTCCAAAATTGTTTTAATACTTTAACACTATTCGTCTTTTGATCACTGTCACTATTTTTTTTATTATCAATTATAGTCTGTGATTTACTTTTACTACTACTAAATGGATTCAGAAACTTAATGAATGACGACTTAGATTGATGATGTGATTTGAAGTTATTAGTGTTATTTTCTGTTGTCGTTTGATTTATAGCGCTATTGTTACCAATTTGTTGATGATGCTTCACACCATTGTTGTAATTTTGGACATTTGGTGTCCGCATGCTGCTGTCTTTTTGTTGGAACATCTTTGAGCTGATTGCATCAATGAAGATGTCAACGTGATGAATTTATTTGACAGATACCTGCGAAAGTTTAAAAAAAAAGATATAGTATGGATGAATTTGTACAAGTAGTAAGGCAGGTAATAAAGTCTCATTTTCTTTCCTAAGAATTTCATTTTCAATTTCCTGTTCAAAAAACTATCTTGACTAATAGTGAAAGTATGAGAAAATTTTCATTTTCTACTATCGACTTATTTGTTTCACAATTCTTATCGATACCACTGGCTGTACTCTAAAATGGAAATGTTGAACTACATTTGAGAAATCTCTCGCATCATTTTCTTTTTCATCATCACAAACAGCCACTTTATGCTGATCAAAATAATGATCATCATCTTGTCGTTTTGTCGATGTCATAAATCTTTATATTTGTCTCAACAATTAGCGGTAAAATAAGAAGATGTAATGAAAACTTATATGTAGTGATGAAATTTTAAAACTTTTATTTATGTCTGTATATACTACAAATACAAGAAAAAGTACCACGTTTTTGTCATTACTTTTGTTTGATTTTTTTAAAAGATCAAAAAATCTGACATCATCTTTCCGATTTAATCGTCTCTTGCTGCTCATTTATAAGCGGTTAATGATTTTTCGTTGTGAACCAAAAATGAATAGAATGAGCATAATGAAAAGCCGAAAAAATCATAAAAAGATTTATAACTTTCGCGGAAGATCATTTATACATAGAAATCTGTGTAGCAATAATACAAACTAATAACAAGCACTTGCATTCCATCATCTGAAAATGAAATACTTTAGAGAAATCTGATCATCCAATAATTCATAAAAACGTTTGAATGCATAGGAAGTTCACTTAGAAAGAAATGTTATTTGAAAAGTAGTTTTGGATTTCAAAGCGCATGTAATTTTTGATTTGAGTAATTAATGAAGTCATAAATTTGGAATGTGAATATTTTGTTTCATGAAGAATATATAATATTTTGGATATAAATTAACAGATTCATGTAAATTTGATGTGTTAATCAGATATTTTTTGTTGTTCTCTTGTCTGATCAATTTATTGGTTTGCGTTCTTAATTTAAATAATTTCTTTGTCTTGTTTAGAACTTGTTCATTTGTTATCTGTTTAGAATATTTAATTGATGAGATATTTTCATGTCAGTTTCAGAAAATAAAAGTCTCACTCTTAAAAAATCAATATCCAACTCACTCATCATTAATTTAGTGTTAAATTGACACATATTATCATTAGCTTGATTAAATCCAATCAAAAATTACTTCCTACGACATCAATTACCAATGAAGCACAAGTCTCTTCAAAATTATAAGTTAATTTGGCAGGAAGCTCAAACTTTCTTTCTGTAAATACTCTTAAAATTTTCTATTTCTGCCACTTTTAAATAATATTCACTCATTTTCCTACTGTCTGATTTACATTTTGGCATATTTGTGAAACAAATGATGAAAATTTCCACCAACTGATTGATTTGCTGAATTGTTGCTAACATGATTTATAAATAGAAGCAAACACTTTTATTGCTTTACAAATTGTAACATGTGTTTGCCGGATCACACGTGAAAATTTATGTGTAGGATGACAGTAACTATGATATGTGTTGAAAATTGACAATCGGTGTGTGAGAAAGTCTCCTACTTTAATCTAATTAACATAAATCATTCATAATTTATCATTGTAATTATCAAACTTCCTCTTCATTATCTCTCATGTAAAAATCTAATGTTGTAAAATTTGTAAAAACATTCATGAACGACACATACGAATTTAGTGAATGTTGCGCATCTTTATCACACACAAATCTCTATTTCCTATGTCTCTTTTCAATTTCAATCGCTCTATGGCTATTTTTGAATACCGGTTTCATCTTTCTTTGAGGAGTTTCATTTTAATTTTTCTCGTGAAACGTGTAAAAAATGATTTGTGTTAAAACAAGTAATCGCAAAAAAACAACAAAACGAGACTCCAACAAATGCTCACATAGATAGATGAACGATGATAAAATATACAAAAAAAAACCTCTTCTTAGAGGTCGTCATCGAGATAAAAAAAATCATAAATTTGAAATAAAGAATCATAAATTAATGAATAGTTCTAGAGACGAGTTCAAAATACGCAAATCACCATAAACGCTAGTCGATCGATTAATCAGCATTAATTTGAAATATGTCAAATAGTATCTTTTATTTTATTTTAGTAATTCTAGATTCTAATCGAGTCTTAAAATGCAGAAAAACAGTTTTTTTGTGATAAATAAATTGGGAATTAAAGCTGCTTATCGATATCATGAAGTTTAGAATATCCGGAAATATCTGGGGATGTCCAAGACATTTTTTTGCCAAGTTGTTAAATTGTATGTACATCAATTTCAAAGGAACTGAGAATCGTAGTCTCAGTTTTCATAAAAATACTATGAATCTTCGAAAATAAGCATACAAAACTCAAAAACAGATCTAAAATTGTGTACTAGATATTCCAAGAACATCTAAATCAATATCTAAAGTCACTCTAATGCAAACTAAACATCTTAACTCAATAAAACAAAATTATATTTTCAATCACCACTAAAACTCCTGAGAGTGCTTCATGTAAGCACATTAAAATCTTTAAGTATATAAAAAAGTTTTTATGCCAACAGCAAACAATTAAAAATTTATTAGAAAAAAGAATATAAAGCCATTTAGGAAAAATATTATAATTCAATAAAAATAACTTTTTGCATTCAGCTATTTAGATCACAAATATTTAAAAATTGAATGTTGTTTATTAGCACTCTGTTGTGAAGTTTTTTATATCTTTTATTAGGATGCTTATATCAAGAAAAAACTTGTTGGAGGGTACGTCAGCTATTAGCTTTAATTGTAGAATTATCAGAAATATCGGTAAAGAAACATAAATGTATGGTTTAAAGATGGCAAATTTTAGTATTAGATTAGAAACTTTTAAAACTAAATTATCGAGCACTTGACATATTATGAACATTATACATATGTGTGAAGAACAGTATTAGAGAAGAAGCAGTGAATTAAAAGTGAATAAAGAAATAACAGACGAAAAAATAAACCTTTAAAAGCTTATACAAGATAAATATAATTTTTTTTTAATTTTCTTCTATTTTAATTCCATAAAGATTAAAGACATTCTTTTGTTTTAGAAACTATTTCAACATTAACTTGTCTACTCTCTCTAAAAAATTCATAAATATTGTGCATCTTCCCACATTCCACCAGAAGCATTCAACTAAAGTCTTAAGGCATTGATCCATCAGTAGACTTGTAAAGCAAAATTTAAATAATTGAAAAGATTTCATGTGTGTTTATCAGAAATTCCTCTGCTATTCTAGAATGCCTACTCCATTCCGTGCAGCATTCATCAGAAATGGTAAGACTATTAACTGTATTTTCTCTCCTCATTCGCTATAAAATTGTATGTCACACACATTAATAGTATAAACTTTAGAAAAAGAAATTGTGACTATAAAAATACTATTTTCATCACATCGTCGAAGTCGTCGTATTGTCGTGTATTGAGAATTTTCTAATGCCATGAAACAGTAATAGCAACAGCCTCTAATAATTATAATATAATTCTTTGAGAAAAGAGGAGAAGAAAAGTAAATAAAGTACATGAATTGTGCATAGTTGCACTATCATCAAGCTGGTATCAAACTAAAGCAGTTAAAACCATGAGTTACAAGTTTCTCGCGCTGCTTTTCCACTAAGAAAATATGCATTTATTGTTCAGTTTGACTGACTTGAGCATCAAAATTCAAGAAATTCTTAAAAATCAAAAGTGATTATTTTCCTGAATCAAAGAAATTTGCCTTATCAACTGATTCATTTTTCCTATGCATTATCTCTATTATTGCATTAATAAAGTCAACAAGAAAAACCATAATCTAATCAACAACAAGAAAGATTAGAACAATTTGTTCGCATTAAATTCTCAATAAAAACACAAACTAATCTAATTGAACAGCTATATACAAGGACCTTTGCATGATATGGACGTAAGTAGTTTGTGAAAATCGATTATCCATTCAGTTTATTCATGTAAATCGTTTACAGTAAATAATAAAGCTAATTAAACCATTGATGATCGCATTGCAATTTTTGTTGTGTGGAATAATTGAAGCTTTTAATATGTGAGGTCACTAATCAAGGATGAAATGAATGAAAATACTAAGAAACTGTTGATTTTCACCATCATCAACATATAAAGAGTTAATGGCTATTCAGCAGAAATGCGTTTTACGTGACAATTTAAACTAATTAATATAGTCATTTGCTTTACTTGCTTCATCGTAAAGTATGACATGTTCTACAAAACGCAAAACGCGCGAACGAATTAATGATTAAAGAAATTTTCACTAGTCTTGTAAAAAAATGAGTTTTCAACATAATTATTTAGCATAATTAATTCATAATAATCATAATTTCCTGATAAATTCAATTGCCTGGTTCACTTTTGTCAGAAGTTGTTAACGAAATGTACTTTTTACCAAGAAACTTAATTTTTTTCGTGCTATTTCTTATTTACATGAGTTTTTGCAAGCAGGAGGTAGATAATGCTTTCAATTAGCGACTGTATGTGGAAACAAATAATAGACAGATAAAAACGGGAAATTTTCGCAATTGATATATTAAATTTTCGCGTAAAAAAAAGTAATCGGATTGTGTGTGCGTTAAATATTGGTTGTATCATGAAAAGTACATAATAGACGATAAACAAGCAAAATAGCGACGCCGAAATGCAATCAATAGTTTATTTAATTTTCTGAATCAAACAAAGCTGGTCGCTTAAAATTCCTCCATTAAATCAAAAAATATGAATGGTAGATCGTGAGACAGAATAGCACCTGCTCGATATTCATTTAGTATAAGATTGTCATCAAATTCATGAATTATTATAAGGAAATGAAGACTATCATTTGACTACACACCCCGAACAATTGAATATTTATGTCAACTTTTTCTTGTAGGTATGGATCTATGGATGTCATTGAGTGAATATTTGTATTGAATCTTTTTAATATGAATATCTATATCTTCATAAAGATGAAAATCATGGTCTCAAACAAAAATAAATAAAACAAAAATGAGCTTGCTTGACAGTTCTCACATAAGTCTTTATTTTAGTTTTGGCTACTTTCAAAAATCATAAAAAGCACAATTTTTTAGAGGTCTTATTAGACTCGCTTTTCAGCATGAAGAAAAACCCTGTCTGAAATGGAATGTTTAAATTTCAATTAATCTCAATTCATTTTTCTCACGATTTCTCAAAATGAAAAATTTGTCTACCAAAAATAATAAAGTAGTTTTTTTTAAGACAGTGGAAGAAAAGTTTCTATTAAAATTAATTGATGGAGATTTCTAAGACTGAAAATTATGAGACTTTTCCATTCAATTAGTAAATGTCACCGTGGTTTAAAAAAATGTGCTGTCATTGATTTTGGAGCAGTTTTGAGAGGAAACTTGAAATTGAGATGCTTTTGTTCAGTTTTTAAAAATTCAGATGGGTCAATTACTGAATGATCAGCATTTAAATTTTTGCGTCAAAATTGCATCTAAGCAGTTATGCTGCTCCTAAATGTTTAGCTTCCGATTTCAAAATTGCCAATAATTTGCTAACATCAACATGATTGCCAACATCCAGAAATGAAAGTAAAAGTTTTCAAGAAATTCGTTAAATGCTGCTATCGCAAACATAATTACTGATATTGCTGTAAGCTAGTAGCCCCAAATCAATTGCTATATTTAGCTAAACGTGAGAAATTGCATTAAATATCTATTAATCTTCTGCTAATGATCACTCTCTTACGCTAATAATAGCTCTTTTAATATAGGGCCATTTTTAACCATTTTTGAATAATAAATGCCAAGCTATTTATCCCTTTATACATTAGTTGCTTTGCAACTTTGTGTTCAATAGACACGATTAGAATCTTTTCGATGTTTATTCCAGGAAAAGTTGACTTAAGACTAAAAGCTTAATTAAAGCAAGAAGTCCAACGGGAACATGAAAATAAATAGTAGTATAAAAATTTGGAATTAATTAGCCACCAATCTTTAAGTTTTCAAATGTCACAAAATATTCACAAATCCTTGAAAATGTTTTCTAAAAGCTTCCAAGAATCACACAGTCTGATTACAAATACTTAATATGACAATTATAATTATCGACTAATTAAAACAAAAAGTGCGCGATAGGCTTCAATCCACAATGACATTTCATCATATTTTTTGGTATAGCTTAGTATTATTCTTCTTTGGCCTTAATTAAATTAAATTGCTGAACATGCATATGTTACCCTTTTAAAATACAATTTATTATGTTGAAAGGTTTCTTCTCCACAGTCTTGTACAGCGCAGCAAATATTATTTTAATTTTAAGTGCTCGCCTCGTTTTTTCGTATTAATTCTTCAAAATTGTATTTGTGTGACTTTTATTATGCAGTTAATTCTCTATAGTTAGATTTCATTTATGGCATAATTCTTCTTTTAAATTAAATTCTCAATCATTTTGCACAAAATTTCATTTTTTCTTCTTCTTATTCTTGTGATGTTATTCCTTTTTTGTTCTCAATTCTCATTTTCTTCTTCCTTATTGCACTTTCTGAATTAAATTCATTATACAATATTATTTGTTATTATTGCAGTTATTATATTGCAAGCGAACGAATGAATGAATTTTTTTTTCAAATTTATATTTTTTTCTTCTTTTATTATTTTAGCATATTAGAATGGGAAAGAATTAAATTACAGACGGGCCCAAAATGTCGGATGATTTCTTTTCTCTTTTCTTCTTATTTTTTATTGCACTCAAGAGTCTTTTTTTTTTTGATTCATAAAATTTGATCTTTTTTCAAGAAACAACAAATGAACAGAAACATAAAACTTGAGGCCAAAGAATTTTCTTTCATGCCTCTTAATTTCGCACTCAAATCACGTTCCAAAAATATTTATTATTTTTTTTTTATTCGCAGAGATCGCGAAGAATTTTTTATTCTCGTTGTTTCACGCGCGATGTATGAAAATGTACTGGAATCAGCTTTGAATAAAAAATTTTCGTCTTCTACTTCAGACTTTCTTGTGCATTGTTTTTTTCCTCAAAAACTAATGTTGTGCTTTGCGATGTTCAAATTTACTAACATGCTTTCAATATCATTGTGTGAATGTTTCATCGCACATTACCACATTGTTACACTGTGTAAGAACGATCGTATCTTTATCAATAAAGAGTCCAACATTCAAGCACAACATATATTCATGAGATGAATCCAAATTGAGTGAGAAACAGGTTTTTTTGCTCGATACTAACTGATCTTAAATTCTTTTTTAATCGTTTCACACGAATCTGTGGAACAGCAATGAATTTGAATATTTAGTAAAGACAGAGAAAACATCAACTGGTTTATGAAGTCATCACATCAATATTTCGCATATTAATTTAATGAAAATTCGCAAAAGAAATGGGAAGTTATAAAAATTTATTTTCAAGAACTCGTAAAATATGATATTGATAAATGAACTAAAGTTGATGATTTTTTTTTTTTTTTATTGCCTTGCCATCAAACTTGTGCTCATTTCTTTATTGTATTAAACAACTTGTAACTGTCAAGAAAAACCATTATATATTGATAAAAAGTTTAGTGTACGAAAAAACGGGACTATCTTGTTGAATGTATACATTCTATCATAATATTTGTTTAAAATAATATACTCAATAACATTTAGCATGATCGTATGATAATTTGTAAAAATAGAGCAGATTGTAAATGGCTATTAAAACGTTGTTGTGAATTGGTTAAACTAGAATAACTTCTGATGATGTTTCGATGATGAAGTTTTAGTTTCGATATTCTAAATGAATACATCAATTATTCATTTATAATACTTTCACTCCTGAATTATTAAAATCAACACATTATTAATTGCACCCTATCGACTGCTAGATGAGTAATGAACATTAATGATCATAATTTACATAAATTATTAACAGTCTAGCTGTCGCCAATAATTTACATCATCTTCTAGCTAGAAGCTATTTTTTCTCATTTAATTAAGAAATAAAATAAATAACATATGTTATGAAGAGAAGCCCTAATTACCAAAGAAAAATACCCGCGTCAAGAGTTTCAAATCAATGACATAAGAGGATTGCAGTATGATTTCATTGATGAAATACCAACATTCGTCATTATATACGAATAACATAACATAAATAAAATAGCAAGTAAAAAGTTATTTAATTTAATTGCGAATTGATTACTCTTGTCGTGTGAATTATTGCATGCGAATATTAAAATTAATCAAATATGATGGCATCATGCTGATAATGAATAAAAAGAATGGAAGTGAAATTTAGCTTGTAAAATCATCAAAATGTCTGCATATATTTACTACCCATATTATGAGTACAAATCAATAAAGTAATTAGTCTTTCTACTCACTGTGTGAAATTAACTTCAAGTTTATAGACTTTCATAAAAAAAAGCTATGAACTGCTAGATTTAACGAATATAAAAAAAAAATAAAATGCAAATTCATTCTACTGATCATGTTGCGGGTTTTATGTTTTTGGAGAATAAAAAAAAATTATTCGCTCGAAATGCAAGACTCGGAATTAATTTTTAAATACTTAGGCTCATATGAAAATGAGCTTTAATGACTATTGCGCATAAGCCTTCGGCAATATTTTCTTCCTAAATTTCGTCTGTTCCAGCAGTTTTGTTTCGTTTTCTTTTTTAAAATTATATTTCACAATGAATTTTGATGTATTACAGCCGACAACTAATATGTGCATAAAGTCGAGAGATTAATAGGTTAAAAAGTGTTTATTATGTTAGACGAGTCATGAACGCATTTGATAATGTTGCTGAAATTTGCAAGCTATTTTAATAATTCAAATTTCTCAATTGAAAATTCATAAACTTCAAACTTTTGATTAGAATTTAATTTTTAAAAACCAGACAAAGTGAATACCAAATACCCAGCTTTAGGTTGAAAACTCAAAAAACGAAAAAGGAGTTTACAAAAATGATTTCCAAACAATGATAAAGCATTTATGCTCTTTCGACATTTCAATTTCATATTTTTTTATTCATTACACGATAATCTTAATTTGTCTTCTTTCCACTATTTTTCATTCATATTACAAAGTTGTTAAAGAGTTGAAAACAAATAAAGTACTTCCTACAATCGATCAATCATTAAACCAAATCTGTTAAACGGACAGTCATGTATAATTGTTGTTTTATTTAGATCATGAATATACATGAATCAACATAAAGAAGGAGTGGGTCTAGTTTTATGATTACCAAAACTCTCGTACATTTCACAAGCTTTTTCTCCTTTTTGGCGGTTTTTAGACAAATGGTAGCTTGAATTTCATTAATAACAATCTCACATAATTTTGTTGACTTTTGAATTCGTTTCAATTCAATATTGTGCATGAAATGAGACTGTTTGGCATGTCAAAGGACAACTAAATTTGCCTTTGTGAGGTCATGCTTTTGAATTTGTTTTGTAATGCTATCCCCCAAGCTTAACCTTAAAAGACATCGAACTTTTGAACATTTATTAATCATAATGTTCATGATCGCATGTCATATTTTACATCAATCATGTAATGAAATGTAAGTGATGAATGATAAAGTGCGATAATCTTGAAAATGAATTTTGTAATATTTTGCGTAATCATATTCTTTTGTGATGGAAGTGAATTGAAATTTCTTTAGAATCTTTAGAACCGATATTCTAAGACTTGTTGAGCATGACTTAATTAAACTTTGATTGTTATGAATTTGTTCTGCCAAATCGAGAAACTATTGAAGGAAATATGAAGCTTGAATAATTGAGGTTCTTTTTAATGTGAGAACTAAATGTAAAAGCTTTTCCTGTAAGCCAACTCATGTATTAAGCTTTTAAAGTCCATTTATCGGCAGTTTTAGATTCTCCCTGATAGGATGATTGTTTTCTAGGAAATTAAAGTCAATCAATGACTAATTAAAATTGCCTTGAGTATTGATTTTAAACTTTTTATAATTAATTTAATTAGTGTAAAATAAGTGACGAAGCTAGAGATTTTTCATTAAATTCTCACTTATTTTTTAAAAAAATGAAATATATTCGTCAGTTAACTTTGAAATAGGATTAAAAACCTAGCCCATAAACCAATTATATCCAAAATAACCGTGACCTTCAAATCTAATTTATTTTTTTACATAAACATATCCCATGAAATTTAACATTGACACTCATCAAAAACTTTCGTTTTGTTTTGAAACCTTTTTTCCTCAATGAATAAACAAACCTTAATCACAAAAGTAAACAAATTACAAAAGGTGAAAATAACCACAAGTTTTCAATGGTCAATTGAAGCTAGTAATCGCATTAAGCCTGTGCCTACAAAACCACTGAAATCCTATTTTAAATTAAATCTTTAATTGCTTTCGATTTCATGGAAATTTCTGATTTTCGCTTGACAGTCAAACATCCTAAAGCAAAATAGCAATGCTTATTATTGCATGACAATCACTCGAGGTGCCATTGAAAAAGGTTAGACAAAAAATAGAATAAAGCTATGTTTGTAAAATTTTTAACATACTACAAAACATTCCATTCCATGAACAGCAACAGTTCGTGTGTCAATTAAGGTGCAGTCGACTTTAGCGTTAGTCAAATGTTTTAAAAAATAAGTAAATAAATTCACAGACGGAAGAAAATGATATCAAATGTAATTAATGTGAAATGTGAGGTGTGTGAATTTGAAAACTAGACACTAATCAAGTCTGAGCTACATCAATTATTGATTAGTTTTTCATCTCATTTCATTAACGATCAAGTTCAATGGAAATCTTGATATGACGAATATGACTTTCCCTTGGTGAAGTTCAAAAATTCATGCACATGCACGTATTCGCGAAGAGATGATAATAAGATAAAATGAAGAGAAAAAAGCCGAATGCCGAGTAGCAATCAATCACAACCGGAAAAATTTTATGTTATGTGATATGCTGTAACTTCCATAATTTCTTCAGCAACTTGTACACAAAAAAGGTGATTTTACTCATTTTTTCTACATAATTGAATTTTTTAACGTAACAACTTCGCTGTCTTTTTTGCGAACCTGTAATTCACATTTGGCAAGTCGCATGACCGCCACCAATCGAAAAACATCGATGACTTTTTAGTGAAAGTACATGTACATGTGGTATTACAATGTTTTTATCGGCGAGCAAAATGCGATTTAAAAATGCGGAAAAGTTATTTAACAATTTTTTTTTTGGAATGAAGTTCATGATGAAGGTAAACAAAGCGAGAAAAAGATTTTTATGAGCGAATATGAAAAGAGTCATGCCGACTCCATTGATGGACTTAATGTCACGGAGGGGAATGAATCAAAATAATATAAAAATCGAATGTGAAATTTCTTGATTAATTTCATTACGAAAAGGCCGTTTCGTGCAATGAATAAAATGCATAGATATAAAGTGATGAAAATAGATAACCAGAGACAGCAGGTGATATAAAAAAATATAGATTGATAGATCGGTTCACATACCGATTGCATAAATAAATATTGTTTTACTTAACATTCCGAAATCAATTTAAAATTCATTGGATATCGATCAATCTGCAATCACTCGAGTTACAAGTATTCGTGGCATTTAAATGCAATAAGTTTCAAAACATTTATTTTAGCAAGATATAAACTTTCCATTTTCTCATAAACCGCACTGTATGCTGCTGTATGTTGCTGAACTAAAACATGTGTCTTGCATATATTTGCTTAAACTTTTAAAAATGTCCACACATTCTGCAATTCCAAGTATGTCTTCAATTTTCATTCATCTGCCATTTGTCAATGAAATATTCGGAAAATTGTCTACATCTAAATGGGATGTCCGCATATTGAATTAACTTTCCTCAATTGGCATGCATTGATTTAAATCTTGTTAACCAATTACACGTGCTTGCATAAATGATTATGCATTATTCTCGCATAAATATGTGAAATATTCAAAATTATCCAAAAAAA